GCTGCTGAAAAAACGATTAGAGCCGCGAGTACGGCCAGAAGTTGATATCCCTCTGTGGGGTATCTCGAGGAAGGGGCTCTTCTCGCCAAGCTGACAGACGACACGGTCTCTTCCCTTCCGCTCATGTGCGGGATATGACTGAGTTTTCTGAATTTCCATCGACTCCGGCGCTTCTATGTCGACGGAATGGCTCACGAACAATAGAAGCTCGGGCTGTCAGGAGATGAAAACTCAACTACCCGGTCGTCGTCGGCACTTAGGTCTTCGCAGCTAGAGATCACTAATGGGCGGAAGTGCATGGAGGGTCCCTCTGTCATTGTTGCTCTGCACGACACCCTCTGGAGCGCCGTATGTTCGGATTAATAAGAGCTTTATGAGCCGTTTCACGGTTCGTCTTCCTGTGCCCCATGCCTACGGGATCCTATGCCGCGAGCTCCGTGGTCCGCCCTGGAAATCAACGGGAGGGCTGGCTGGATGGTTGGAGGGGGGAGAGGAGGAAACATCCGGGGTTCTCCGATCATCGATGACATAGCGAAGAGGCGTGGAGGGTTTCCTTGCTCGGTGCGAGGATTTTCCTCTCCCCGAATCGACCCGGACGGTTCTGAAGATTATTCTTGACCCCGAACCTCCGGAGAGCGGACGCCGGAGAAGAGCTCCGAGTACAATATCGTATCAAGTGCAGCTCCCGGGCTAGATGATTTTATACATGATTTGTGTATCCGACCGGATCGATTAGCCTAGTGTCCAGAAGCCATGCATGCCATGATGCACAGAAGGATTCTATCTTATCATATTCCTCGCCTTATTCCAAGGAGCCACGGAGCAAGTCCTGTAGCCTTCGATTTGATGAGTCAATATCTGAGGCGAGTGTGAACGCTGCTCTTGTCGCCTACTTGCCAGTCGGACCAAAAACACTTTTCTTGGAATCCACTGCTCTTCTGCCGACCCCTCTATGCTGAGCGAAACTTTATCAATGGGATATGGGTTTGGTTCCCCTTGCGGGCCCCGTCCCATTGTGGTTTTGCTCCTTCTCTAGAGAGTGCCCCTCGGACACGGGACTTGAATCCTGGTGTAGACGAGGGCCGGAGACGGAACCTTCATTTGCTCAAAACCCCATCACTCAATTCCTCACTTAGGGCCACACAAGGCCGGGACAAAGACTCGGAAACTAATGCTTTCGGTTGAGGGGTAACTCGGCTCGATCACGAGGACAGCCTTGGGAACGGGCTCACGGGAAGGGGGACGCGAGCGAGTCTACTCTTACGGCGAAATTCTCGCGTCAAGGCTTTCTTTGGGTCCTATGGAGCGGAGTAATCACTTTTATTGCAAAGTCTGCTCTAAGCATCCGACCTCGACGAGAGGGCGAGGTCTGAGGCGTATAGTCCGTACCGGGAAACACGTGAGTGAGACTCTGCGGTTTCGGAGTCGTAAACATCAGACGTACCCTCAAATCATCGCCACTCTCCGGTCCAAAGAGCCCAGCGATGCGGCTCTCGGAGGGAGTGTTTCCCAATAATCTCCTCTGCTTCGTCAATCGAGCGACAGGTCTACCGTCAAAGAACAAACCCGCGCACGTCCGGGGAGGTCGGTCCTTTGACTCCGACTTCCTCACCGGAATCACGATCCATATCTTTGGAATAATTTATTCGTCTTTTCCTCCTCTCGAGAGATGAGGCAGCACTCTTCAGGATTCGGTATTCGGACTAAGCCTCAGAGACCGGGAGGAAGGAATAATTCACTGCATGTCCTAGCAGGAGAACTCCGGGAAGTGTGAGAGCCAACGCAACTCCCCGGTGTCGCAGAACTGGCGCTGATCTAAAGTTCTGATGGCGACAGTCGAATATTCCTTTCTGTCTCCGAGAAAGGAGCTCGCGAATTAAGTTTCGAAGGTCTGCGCCTCAAGCATCATTATCCACGAGTAAGCTGCGTTCTCAGAGCGGCGTCGTGGATCTGAACCTTATTACGTTCGGCACCGAACTCCATGCGATGATGCCTTGCCTGTGCTTCGGAGCGGCGTTTCCCTGGAGGTGCTGTATTTGAAAGCGAAGTTTCTCCTAAGAAATAAGCCGCCCGCGATCGCTGGATGCGCCCTAACTTTCGCTATGAGGGCAAGAGCTCGGGATACGCTTCCGTAGAAATTGCGCCAAAACTTCTGATGCGTAGGCTAAGTGTGAAGTTCAGGTGATCATTGAGTTTCACGGCTGCTTGTCAGTACTGTTGCTCTGAATCACTCCGAGAATTGCATACCTACAAGAGAGGCAATATATTGCAAGCAATGTGAAGCCCCCGAACGTCGTCGGAGCCGGGCTTGGACGAAGCGCTCTAATTTCTGGAACTCCGATGATAATGAGCAAACCGGCAACAATTGAAAGTGCGGATGAAGAAGGACAAGATTCGGTCGCAGCTGTTTGTATCAATCGTCGACTAACGCTGCGACGGAAACTGGCTTACGCGGAGCGAGTGCTGATTCCGCCAAAATAATTACACGTTCGTCATCAAGGCAATCGGCCGGAATGCATTTCAACACCGCCAGAACGTCAAAGCAGAAGAACGGAGGGAGTCGTTAGACTGATACAATCACCGTTGTTCCTTATGACCAACGACGACAAGCGACGAACGACAGCGGAGCTTGTTTAAGCGGTTGCCAACAAGCCACGGCTCGAGCAAACTAAGGTCAATCTACAAGTAGTCCCACCGAAGCCGTGCAAACAAACCGACACTACTTCGGCTGCTGTACGGGGGGGGGAGCTTGCAGTCCGCAGAAGCTGTGCAATTAGATGCAATCCCGCAGCAAGCGAACTGAGCAAGCCGAGTAAGTAGCTGACTAAGGGACGAAACGTTCGTGGCTCCCTTCGAATGCCCGAAAAACTAATGACAAGAACATCGCCCGGTGAAACAATGCACACCGTGGTTCACATGGGAATACGGATGAGACGTAAAAGCGATATCCAGTATCACAACGCTGGGCGCATCCGGAATCCGACGCGAATCAAACGTAGCAAAGCATTGGAAATGACCATGGATAATACGATTTGGAAGTAATTCGGAACGAACATCCCGGCCCGTGTGGCTAGGAAGTGAGCAGAATTACCATCCTGTCTTCTGCATATGTACACACATGGATATGTCTGCATGTCGAACGCACGGACCCACCGTCGGCTTCGGAGCATACGTGTAGACGGGTATGATAGGCTGATGACGTTTCCGACTACAGGAACGAGCGGTGATTCTCGTTCTCGGATCTCGCGGCAAGGGTGATTGCGTATAGATCCGGACTCGGACAGAACTTCCCCCGGATCCTTCGGAGCTCTCCCGTGATTCCAGACGCTCAGAAGAGTACCACCGACTATTTACGGCGTATGGAATCCGCAGAGTATCCAGCTACGCAGTGAACTTTGTCGTGGCTGATCGTTCGATCGGCAGAGAGTCCCACGGAACTTAATACGTGCACGACAACTGGGCTGAGGGAGTATCTCTATGGAACAGCCATCGAATACGGTCAACCCGAACCCTCTAACTCACAGACAACCGAGCCAGACGAAACGTGACCAAGGTTTATACGCCACGAGCATCGCTCAAAAATACAGCGGTCGGATGCGATGGATTGGCTGCGATGTTTGGTCGTTTACGTTCGTTCCACGGTCAATGTCCCTTGAAAAGTGAGCTCCACTTGTATAGAACGCAAGGCCTGAGCCCCAGGGGCACCGCATAGCCGCCGTTCTCGGGACCGAAACAGCGAGCGGCAGAAACTTTCGGACGCAGGCGCCATCCTCCAGCACATGATTTCGAGCGAGAGGGGTATTTTGTTCCATGTCCGTTAACAGTATTGTTCATGAATTCGAAAGTCAGAATGCGCGTCTTCGAGATTCAGAAAAAATAATGAGCTATCCGACCCCTAGCATAGAATCTTGAGAACTGGAATGATTGTTCCGGTCGTTTGCTCGTACTTGAAACAGAAGTCACGCCTTAATCCTGTTGTAGCACCCAGGAGCATGTCGGCGTCATGACGACAAGCGTCGTTCGAACGTCGAATTTCTCTCGGACGATTCTCGTTCAACCGTCCAGAATAGTTCGTTACAGACGATTGAAATTATTATATACTAACTTTTCGGAGTGAGGCGATTGAGAAAAAGTTGCAGTCGGGGTGAGGTTTCCGGCGAAGACTACTCGCTCCCTCTCGGAAGGAGAGAGAAGGTCTAGAGAATAGACAGTCGATCGGATTATACAATGCCGGCGAAAGCTGATGTGTTAACATGAATTTTAATAATCGTCAATCAATTACTCGAGTCGGTCGAGTTTGACTCGTTCCATCCTGTTTTTCAGCAGCTGATGGAATGGCTTTTACGAATGGCACTGTTGTTGTGCAAGCACGCTTGACGAGGAATGATTTCTACAAAATATTGAAGTGTCCTTAAGGGCGAGAACCGCTTCGTTTACTCGCGCTGTGGCTGTCCGCTGGATCGTCACTGCTTTGTATTGATGACGAAAATTCGTTTCTAGTCCAAAGAGTTTTCTGTAACGCGTGAGTGTCATGAAAATAAATAAACAGTTGTGAAAGGTGAGCCCGTTCACCGACTGATATTACAATCCACTCCTCGGGTGAAGCTTCGCTCAACTGAAGCGGACAATATATTCTCGACTTTATTCCTAAGAGATGTGTCGCTTTCGTTTGCGACAGAGGGCGCGATATCCTTGATGTCACTTAGAAAATCGAGTTGACTTTGAATTTCTCTTACTGTGGGGAGGCAGGGAAAACCCGGAATCTAAGTTTAGATCTTCATTCGTTTATTGCTGAGGGTGAGGAATACTCGTCGCGGCTGGATTGACGGAGACAATTAAGCTCACTCAGTCCATGCTCGGAGAGGAACTTGCCGTACAATATACACTAAGGGTCTCGAATCGGCCGAACTATTTACAACAAGTGAATTAAATCTTCTACGAAGTATTCCTCCAGCTCGCCTCTCCGTTCAGAGGTGTCTTTATGTAGATGCTGCTAGAGCTCAAGCCGCTTTCTTCTTCGCGGCTGCCGCCGCCTTATGCCAACCATGTCCGTGGTGATGGTGGCCCTTGATAAGGATAGGCACGGGCTTCCTGATCGTCACTGGGATTTCTTTGATAAGCGGAACCTCGACCGGAATATGTTTCGTCACGGGTACAGGGTACGGCTTGTGGATGTGGACCGGATAGGGTTTTGGGATTTTGACTTCGACCGGAACGTGGTAGGGTTTATGAACCACGTAGGGCTTGGGCACGTGGACGACGTAAGGTTTCGGGACCTTGACCACGTGATGCACCGGATAGGGTTTCTTCACATGCACGGTCACGGGGACCGGTACTTCCTTCGGGACGGGAACCACTTTGTGTACCGGGTAGTATTGATGCACGACGTGAGGGACGGGGTAGGGCTTGGGAACTGGCACATGCTTGTAAACAGGCACAGGTTTGTGAATGTGGACGACGTGGGGTACCGGGACAATGTGCGGTACCGGGACCGGTTTATGGACCTTTTTCACAACGATGTTGACTTTCGGTGTATGGTGATGGTATCCGTGTCCCCCACCGTATCCACCGCCGTAGCCCCCGCCGTATCCGCCACCTCCGTAACCTCCGCCACCGTAACCACCTCCGAAACCGTCAGCGTTCACCAGAGCACAGCTTAGGAGCACAGGGAGGAACGCCAGCAAACGCATGGTGCTCGTCGGGTTCTATCCGTCGGAAATCACTGATCGCTCTTAGAGTTAAGCCGTGGGTTTTGTAGTGGTTTGTGGATTCGGGGGCGAGAAAGGGTATGGAACCCCGGGAGCAACGGAGCAGATCCACTTACTGTGCTGCTTGACTTGGCCATTGGGGGAATAGCCGCTGGAATCAGGCACACAAGGCATATGGTGCGCTGATTCGTGTTGGCTTCCCTCAAGGCTGTCGATGTCAACTGTTTTGATTTGGAAAGATAGTTTCTGTCGACGAAGCAGCAGCGTGCCCTAAGCACGCTTTCGGCTCCAGCCAGAAAACTCGTATAAGGGTGGCCAGAGCTCCTCAAGCGTGATCCGCGTGTGCAGCGGGACAGTTAGCTCGTCGAACGAATCAAAGGACTCCGTGGACTTTTCGCTCGCATTGGCCCTTCCCACGAGGTCTTCTGGAAAAAAGGGCATTGCACGAGAGGGCCATAACGACACGCCATTTACATTAGACTCACAATTGGCCAGTTCCTGAATCTTCTCTTTTCTCGGCTTCGTCTAAATAGATCAATGCAGAAACATGGACTCAGTGAGTCCTTGGGAGCGCCGGTGCTTTCTCACCTAGCTGGACCAGAATTCGAATTCTCTATCGGACAAACCCCTGCGGAATGGTCTATTTTGATTACCGTTCCATTGTGGCAAGCACTGGAGACATTACATGGTGTGCATATGGAATCGCCTCGAGCACGGGCCTTCAGGTGAATAATGGCAACGCTCCCCTCTCGGGAGAATCAGGCGAAAATCGTTTCAGCGAAGAAGGATTCAGGATTCCGAAGATTCGCGGAACATTATTCAAATCATCCTTAATTTCATTCTACTCCGTTCCCATCTGCGGTCGTCGTATCGCTCCTCGAATGGAATCGGAGGGAGAAAATCTCACAATCAGCTTGGTCAGATGATTCGATCACATCGTCAGCGCTTCTCATTAGTTCGGGGAATTTCCGTATCGATCGCTCCCCCCGTGATAATGATACAATTCCTGAATAGAACGCCCTGAAGTCCCGCCGTCCTGAAAATTCCACCATAAAAGCTGCTCGTTCCTCTAATGAAAAACTCGATGAACAGAGAAAACAAAAAGCCTGGTCACCTCTCTCACATCATTATCGTGACTTCAGGGGGCTTGAAGACTCTAGGCATCCGATACACCGGAACTCCGAGACGCTTCTTCACCGCTGGAATCGGGGAATAATGAACGACCAGGCTGATCTCCAGCTTTCTGATTCTCGTTAGCTCCCAGCCTGCCGGTGAGGATGAGCTTTCTTGTAGCACTTAGAAGTTTTCCCGGCGAGGACTCGTCTGACTGAGAGACAGTCGTTCGCAGCAGCCTTGAATAATCTCCGGAGCTTTGAACAAATAGAGTTTCTATCAACGGTGGAATATTGTTCGGAGACGAGCTCGAAAGCGACATGAGTGCTGTGCAGAATCGGTCGCCGTCCGCTCGCGCGAAAAATTCTTTAATGAATGATGAACGAACTTCAGCGCCACTCAGCGACTCATCTCGTATAGCTGATTCTGTCAGTAGGCGTTCCCCATCGATGTCCACGACGAGTGAGTGAGTTTGAGGCTATCGAATTAGCCGTGATCGAGCTATAGCCAAATTCGCTCGGGACTACAATTTGATGCGAACGGGACTCCATCATGCTCTAAATTCGGGACGCCGACGTTTTGCGCCAAAGCGCTGTAGAAGTTTTGAGTGCGGCGCTGGAGACGCTCTCTCAGTCTTTGCTGATCAGATCTTCGCGGAGCGTGATGTAGCGACTTCAGGCATCGTTGTAGCGTTGTATGGATGGCGGATATCCGGAACATTTCTGACACAATACGGACTCTGTTTCACTTTAGCTCTGCCCGGAAACAGCCTCGCATTCGACCGAAAGATCCTCAGCTGCACAACGACGACGACCTCCCCTATCATCGCGCTCCGCCACGATCGACTCATTGTTCTTTGGCATCGGTGGCAGACGACTCGAGACCCTCTTGTCTCGTCGCCAGCGGATCAATAATGCAGCGCGCTGCGGAGACGAATTCGTGGATATTTCCTATTCCGCACGCCGAAAACATTGCGGCCAGGGAGTTGACATCGCCGGCGATGCGAGTGCGACCGAGCTCAACATGTATACGGCGCGCGTCAAGAGTGTTCGCGGTGAAGGAGAGAAACAACGAATGTCGTCGACAAGAAAAATACATTCGCTGGTTATTCGATTTGGGAGAAGCAACGACGACCATGGGGAATTAAGAGAGAAGAGCGAGCCTCGATGAAAATCTTTTATTGAGTCGGTGCATCCGCTACGGCTGATTCCTCTGCAGACGTCCTCCGAACAAAACCCTTCCTTTTCGGAATGCACTGCAACAACGCCGACTCCCAATCACCGTCGTTTTCGTGCACGCGTATCAAGATCTCGACGACTGAAATCGAATGAGTTCTTAGCTAATGGATTGAGTGGAATGCGCATACTTTACCGGAGGAGCAAACCTCTTCCCGGGAGGGAGACACGCTCAGGTGAAATTTGAATTTACCTACCTTGGTTGACCGTCAGCACGGTGGAATGTGTTCTCGAGGACGAATCCCTCTTCAAGCATTCGAGGATGGGGAGTCGTCGCGCTTCAATCCCATTAGCCGCAGCGAGATCCAGGCTCACGTTCTGCAATACCGAAGCTTTGACTTAATCCTTGGCGTGATCCCAGAGGTGTGGATTTTCAAGCGATGAAAATTGAAACCCGCGACTTCTTTGGATTAGGTGAGCCGTAAACGGACACAGGCGAGCCTGTAGCTGTCTCATTTACATCGAGACACCCGCCGAAATCGGGTTCGAGCCGACGACTTCATCGATTCTCGGGGGGGGGGGGCACGCGGGGTAACAAATTCGAGTCGATTGAATAGATTGCTATGCACACAAAACCTCGCGATACACCCGTGCGATTCGGTGCGACCGACGACGACGTCGGGATAATCGATTCGAGGAGTCGTATTCTTAATCTACATACCACAAGTCGGTGACTTGTCAACGAGAGTGGCTGACAGGGCTTGATCGAGTGGGCAGAGTCAGCCCGTGGCGCCTCCCACAATATATTCCTTGTAATCCATTAAAGCCGAGGGTCACACGGTCGGCAATTCAGAGCGCTCGACCCGACGCCGCAATCAGAGGCTAGCTATTCCATAAAATTGGATTGATGAGAACGCTCTACATACGGCAGCATGTCGGTCGAGTCTATCGCGTTCTTGACAGATCCGAGAGCGCTACAATGTTGCAAACTAGGCTAGCCGCATGGCGCCGGTGATCACGTTGAATCACGTTCAGAGAGCTTCGCTTGAGGCTTTGTGGACTGATGAAGCCTATTTTGTTATACGATGGGGAGCCTGTTACGTTAAATACATTCTGGCCCAGAGCTCCGACTAACGGGACGGTGGAGCACGGAACTATCTGCAGCATGGTCCGATGGGGAGGATGGAAAATCTGATCTGCGATCAAATACTTTCCAGAAAGAACCTGTCATGAAGGCTCCTCCCACCCTTCCCCGGAACCGTTCAATGAGAGATTCGGGTCGAGGTCAGATTTCGACGTCGGGTTCGGCCTTCTGCAGATGCACTGATTCGCTCTCATAGCAAGTCGGAGTTCAGAGCTCCAACTACCAGGCAGAGTCAACTGGTTCGGAACACGTCGTTCGCGATGGAGGACATTGAGTGAAATGCTATTTTGGTGCTCCAGGAGCTTTCCCCTCGCCTTGGCCTACCGCAACTTCATGGGGCAGTAAATTCTGTACGATAAATGCGCCAAGCAACTTCATTAAAGCCCGATGGATTTTCGTCACCCTGACCTTCCCCGAATGTGGGTTTCGTCGGTTCGTTACGTTACAGATAAAAATCAGAAAACATGCGATTGATTATCGAACTTCGTCAATGAGTGACCGCCCAATGAGTGACTGGCTGACTATCTGTCTGACAGGCACACTTTGTCTCCTTCGAGTCGTTTTTATGCGGGAAATCTGCAATCGACGAAGCTCCGAGCAATGCGCTTGTTTGCAATGCTTGAATCGGCCCAGTCAGCATCTCAGAGCAGACATGAGTTCGGAGCAAAACAAATATTTCAGCAACGAGTTCGAGACACACGAACTCGGATGACGCGCGCTGAAATGTTGGCGCACCTGTCATGTCGTATGGGAGCTCTATAATGAAGCTTCGATGCTCTCCAGAATCAGGTACCGCGGGAGTTTTTCCCAACCTACGGATGGAGGGAATCGCTGAGGTCTGATCTTGCCACGAACCACAGCGTCGAATGAGTCGAGCAGCATATGCCGTCACCACAAACCAAGTCGATATCCTTGTTTGTATCTTACTCTGATCCAGGATTATCCGTCAATTTCAAAACATAGATGTTTTACAATTCTCCGCCTTAGTCAAACACATTTACGAGGCGAGCCCCCACGTCCGCGTGATGTAACACAAAAGTGAAAGGATTGCCCAGAACGTAAGTCTGATCCGTCAAACTTTAGAGCGAACACACGCAACACCTTATCAAAACTGGTGAAACCTTCTGCTATATAATTATTTACTCGGGGAAAAGCCTGTCTTATTTTCTGTTAGCGTAAACATCGAGGGAAAATTGCATTCAGCGTTGCTTGGAGTCCTAATGCCACCGATCAAGGCGTGACCTGGTCGGAAAAAGCGCTGTGCAAGCGACGGAATCCCTAAATGTCTTTCTCAGTTCATTTTGTGCGCAAGACTCTAAGAATTATAGGAAAGTAAATCATCGCGATCGACCCCAACGGCAGCAAGGTTGAGATTCGAGGGTAGACCGGAGAAAAGAATTCAACGTCAGCTGCTTCCAGAAAAAAAGCCGAAACACGAAAGCAGGGTAATCGAAATCGTGATGACATTTCACAGTCGTCAAAACGCCCACAACGAGAGGGTAGCTGCCGTCAAGCGCACCAGAACAATGAGCAACTCATGCGTGCTCGCG